GGTATTATTTCTTTTTTTGCCGACAATTTCCACTGTAACGTCCCAGGAAGCTAGCTGGCTAGCTCCATGATACCTGATCACTCTTTAAGACAACTCTTCCTGAGGCTCAGCATTTTCCTCCAGACAGGAGTGGTGAATTCTCTTCTTCCTAAAGACACACATATCCTTTACAAGGGGCCAGGATATTTCCTGCAAAACTGCCTTTGTCATATGAATGCCTAATACCGCCATAGGCTGGGGGAAGAAATCTATCCTTCCAGAGCAGGGGAATAAAAAAACAAAAACGAAAAACCAAAAGCGCCCTCAACTTGAGCATCAGCAAGATTATATACAGGCCAGAGGGAGAGTGCCATTTTAAATTAAAAACATTGATTTTAAAAATAAAATCTTATCCTATGGTTTAAGTCTCCTTCTTTCTTGATGCTGGTATGTGGTGAAATAAGCTGAGGAGGGCTTGAGCGAGTATTCTGAGTTTCAACTCCTTTATAAATTAGGAGGGTGATTTGTCTCTCAGGTAACGGTTGGTCCTGCAGTCTAATAATACGGTTGTAATTTACATTTGGTCACTCAACATTAACGTTCCTTCAGGATAATTAGGGAAAATCTCCATCATGTCCAGTAACTCCCAGCCTGTGGGAACTGGTTCTTTCCTCTGAAGTCCTCACTCATCCCGACCTTAGGTTTTTGCCATCAAGCTCTGTCTGTCTGGGCCCAGGCTGCCGGCAATGCCCCTGCTGGGTGCGGACTGCAGGCCTGCCACTGGAGGGCGTCTGGACGCTTCCAAATTTCTTGGAAGCTCCAGGAAACCCAGGGCTCGAGGTTTGGAAGGTGCAGGACAGATAATACGATATTTGATTTTATTTGTCTGATATGTAAAAGGGAAAAGACGCAGTGTAGAGAGAGAAAGAAAAAAAAAAAAAGAAAATTGCCTTTTTCCCCCCCTTGGGTTCGGCCTTCTTACTAGGCTGTATACACTAGAGAACAAAATAAAAACCCCGGGCTGCAGGTCCCGCAGCTCCGGGTGTGGGGCTCGCTGCCAGGGCGCAGGACCACAGGGGACCGGTCCCGAGGCGACCGAGCCGCCTCGCTTCCAGGAGGTCCAGCTTGGCTGGCCTCAAAAGGCCGGGGCGAGGCAACCTCCGACCAGAACAGGAATTCGTGGCCTTTTTCAGTAATAAAGGCGTTTCCTTCCCTCCTATTTCCCTCCCTTTCTTCTCGTAAGGAGTTTTAGTTCAAGATATTTATGTGGGGTGTGCGTGTGCGTAGCCAATCAGCCCCAGGATCTGCATGGAAAAGGTGTAAAGTACTGATGGGCTCCCGCGCTGCATTATCTCCTTCCAGGTGAAGGTTCGCCCTGAATTGTAATCACTTTAAACCGAGATTTTTTTCACCCCCCCCTCGTCCTTTCAAAACGCGCATTCAGAGATCATCACTTTAAAGCAAAGTCCCATTTCCTGCCCCCAAGCCTTTAAATCTCGGGTAGGAAGAGGGCGTTGAAAGGCACGAGAGAGATGCTCAGATTTCCAGATGACCCAGCGCCGGGCAATGTGCGGCGGCGTGAAGAACCGAGCTGAGGTTTATCCGAACCCCGAGTCACTTAAGGCTGCTCCATCCAGCCTGTCCGTGCAGACTTCACGTCACCTGAGCTGTCCCAGAGGCAGTTTTCGGCTCTCCTTTTGGAGCGGGGGGGGGCAGTTTCTTTTCCATCGGAAGACACCCCCCCCCCCCCCCCCCCCCCCCCCACTCCCAAGTAAAAAGATGCCAAATCACTCTGGAGTCCAGACGCACTTCAGCAACCAAAGGGTTACACGTGCTGCCGGGCTGGGCCAAGGAGAGGGTGCCTCGGCACTCTCAGTAATTCAATTAGTCAGGTTTCAGGAAGGTGGGGCGGGGGTGGGGGTGGAGGCGTGGGGAGGGAGGAGATTAGGAAAACGCCTCTTTCTCGTGGAGCAAACCAATCCGGTTAGAGAAAAAGAGAGAGGAAAAAAAAAAAAAAAAAAAAAAAAAACCCGAGCTGTAAGCAAACAGCAGGCTTCTCCCTGACTGGTTACTCCAATCACCAATCCCCCGCCCCAACCTTCGCAAGTAAACTGCTTGGAAGGAGGGGGGTGGGGGTGGGGGGGGAGAGACGAGAAAAAAAAAAAAAAAAAGCAGCCCACATGACCTGGGCCGCCGAGGCAGCAGCGCTGGCGGCGCCACCCCCCTGCTCGGTCCGAAGCTCACACCCGCGCGCGCACCGCCTGCCAACCCAGCGCCCCGCGCAACACGCCCGGGCGGAGCCCCCACCCCCGCCCACGTCCACGTTCACGCGCGCGGCCTCGCGCTGTGCTGAGGCTGCTGCCGCTTGGGCCGCCGCGGCAGTCGGCTTTACACGCAGGTCATTAACGAGGGGGCGTGCCCGAGGAGATTTTTTTTTTTTCCTTTCCCATAAAGCATTTTTTCTTTCCTTTTTTTTTTTTTCCCCTCCTCTTTTGCAAAACTGACTTTTACCCCCTTTCTACTTCTCGCCAGTCTTCCAACCTCTCCAGGCTGCTCGCGCTGCTGCACTCAAGTTTATTTTCCCGCCTGGGCAGAGGCTGTAGGATTCAGTTGGTGGCTTTCACCTCTCGTTACTGCTGTGCCGGAGGAGGGAAAAGAGGAGGCAGCTTCGGATCGGGAAGGTTTTCTGATGTAGTCACTCGGGGAGGTGCCAGCAGCTCGTGCCGCGCTCCGTCTCCCCTTTTCCCGGTTTCAAACTGATTGATGAATCTCTACAAGTTGCTGGGTTTGGAGCCGGACCCGTCGGAGTCACAGGGACACTTTTGAGAGCTCACCCGGGGCTCCTGGCACGCGGTGTTGGGGGGCTCAGCCTCGCTCCCGGACGGCGATCGGAGACTGACATCAGCCCATCCCGGACTTGGAGGGCTCCGTCTGAAAGTGATTGTTTCCCCTCCCCGCTTTCCAGCATTAGCAGTTGGGTTGGTGTCGCCCTGCAGGTCTGGGCATCCCAGCCCCGCCTGGCTGGCTGGTTCACAACCTCTGCTCTTCATTCACTGCTGCACCCACACCCGGCCAAGAAAAGCAAGCAGGAGAAATCCCCGACTCAGCCAGCGCCCGGGGGTGCCATCTCTCTTTGCCTCTGCGGTCGGACTCCTCTGGGGACCTGCTGGAAGACGTGGAGAGCCAAACTTTTCTTTGAGGTTTTTCGAGGCAAGACCGCTCCTCCTCTCCTCGCCTGAGCAGCTGCGGCTTTAGGCTGTTCCAGGACGCCGACGGAGCTGGGCTTGCGGATCCGGATCCCCACCCTTCTCTGCGCACCTCCGGGTACCGCAGTACCTAGGACTCCTGCGTGGCTCGCGGGGGTCGCCGGGCCAAGACAGAGAGGGAGGCTCCGGACAGCTTCCAGCCTCCTGGGGCCACGAGCGTGAAGACCCCCCACCTCACCCCCCCCCCCACGCGCCCCGATCCACACAGCGCCCTCCTCCCGCAGTTTCTCTCCGGCCGCCAAAGTAACTTGGAGCAAAGCGGGGGCGCACAGCGAGGGCCCAGGGCAGCCGAGGAACCCTGCGCAGACCGCGGCGCCGACGCTGAGCCGGGCCCGGCGGGCCGGTGTATGTCTCCCCGCGGCCGCGGCGCTCAACTCCCGGTGACTGTGCAGCGTGCGCCGCCGCCTGCCCCGACCCGCGCTGCCGCCGCCCGGCCCCGCACGCACCTCCCTCTCCCGGGGTGACCGGCCTGCAGCCGCCGCCCGAGAGACACAGCTCTGCACCCGTTCCCCCGCCCTCGCCGCCGCCGCCACCACCGCACACACGCACGCGTCTCTCCGTTTTGTGATTCTTCTCCCCTCCCGAGCCCTTCAGTGGGGGTGCGAGTTTGTGTGTCCCCCCCCACCCCGCCCCAACCCACTGCCTTCTTTTCTTCTCGCTCTCCTCCTCCTCCTCCTGCCGCGCTCGCCGCGCTCCTCTCGCTCCTTCGTTTTATTTATTCATATTTATTTGGCGTCCGGTCTCTTCTTTCTGCCCCCTCTCCCTCCCTCCCTCTGGATCCCCGCTCTCTCCCCGGAGTGGCGCGTCGGGGGCTCCGCCGCTGGCCAGGCGTGATGTTGCACGTGGAGATGTTGACGCTGCTGTTTCTGGTGCTCTGGATGTGTGTGTTCAGCCAGGACCCGGGCTCCAAAGTCGTCGCCGACCGCTACGCTGTCTACTGGAACAGCAGCAACCCCAGGTAAGGTGGCCGGGGTGGGGACGCCGAGAGCTCGGGCTCCGCGGGCCTGGGCCGGGAGCAGGGAGCAGCGGCGGCCCGGGGGAGCGGCGCGCACCAGCCGCAGGCAGCGCGCGCCCTCGGAGCCTGCGTCGCCAGACGCTGCTGGCTGCCCGGGCGCCGGCGGGAAGCGCTCGCTCCGCGCCGCTCTTTGTTAAGCTGCGGCGGCAGGACCGGCTGGCTGCTGCTCGGAATCCCCAGGGCTGCGCGGAGCCGCTGCCTCCGAGGGGGTGCGGGGAAGGCTCGGAAATGGGCGGGAGCCGGGGACCAGGGACTTCGCTTGCCAGCCCGGGGGAGACTGGCTCGCCCCTCCGGATCCCGGCTCAGGGCTTGGGTCTGGGAAAAGCTCTGGGTGCGTACCGCCGTTGAGTTCGCTCCTGGAGCCTGGGGGCGCAAGACTGGGGCCGAGAACCTGCTGAACATCGAAGTCTTTATTTATTTATTTTTTTTAAATTCAAACATAATTCCTTCTTTTTCCCCTGTGCGCGCAGAGAGCGCACGGGTTAGGGGGAAGCGATGGGTGTGTGTGTGTGTGTGTGTGTGTGTGTGTGTGTGTGTGTGTGTGTGTGTGTGTGTATGAGAAGCGGAAGCTTTAGGTTTTAATGTTCTTTTTTAACTGCCAGAAAACTGTACGGTGACCCCCCCCCCCAACCCCCCCACCAGGCGGCTTAGGCCCAGCGCGCTTGGCCGTGGAAAGGATTCTCCTAGCTCGGGCACCCTCCTTTCCCCCAGTGGGCTTAAGGTGCCAGAAAGTTTGATCGAATGCCGGGTTACGTCACGAGTGCAGAGCGAGCTGCTGGAGTTGGCGAGCCGGAAGGTGGGAGCCTTCGCCCCGGGGCCTGGCGCTGCGCGGCCGGAGGGACGCGCGCGGTTACCTGGAACCGTGTGCCCGCGACCCCGAAGCCCGCGGGCTACGCGGGAGGCTGGAGGCGGGTTCCGGGGACTGCCCTGGCGCACGTGCTGGGCCCCAGCCAGGCGCAGCCACCCTGAGTTTCTGGACCCTGGAGAGGGGAAAGGAGGGTCGTCCCCAGCACCAGGCAGACCCTTTCGGATCCGGAGCATTCCCAAACGTTACTTTCTCCCGGATCTGGACCCGGCAGTCGGGCCCGCTGGGCCCACATCGCTCCGCTTCCAGCTGTGGGCTGGTACTGTGGTCCTGTTGTCCTGGGAGGGAAGCAGTATCGTTTGTACCTAGGATGATCGGTTTTTCTCTGAGCCGAAGTGGAAGTTGCGAGAAAAAGAGGCGGGAGGCCGAGGACTGACCCTGTGGTTGTGGCGCATCTTCTGCTCTGGGCTAGGGGGGCCGGCGGACGCCTCCAGTTCAGTTTCCCACCAGCCCTTTCTAGCGGCTCCAGCTTTCCCTCGGTCTGAATTCGCGAGGATTCCCTGCTTGACTGGGGTCAGCTGGGATGAAGAGCAGACGTCTCCAGGAACGCTGGAAGGGTTGCCCAGCCTAGGGAGAAATCGCCCCGCCCTGTTACTCCGGCCCAGTCACACCCAGGTAGCCGAAAGTCCTAAGTGCCGGCCTAGCTAGCACAAGTGGGAGACATCCCTGAAAGTTTGCGTTTTTAATAAAAGGGGTGTTACGAGGGTTACGAGGGTGGGAATTAGGATGGGAAACCATTTCCTCCCTGACATGCCACTAACCACTACTAGGAAAAGAGAAAAGAGACGACACTCCGCCAGAGAATATGCCTTTTATTAAAGCTGACAAGACAAACGGAGCAAGCTTTCCAGTTGCGATGGTGTGTTAAAAAAAGCAGGTCTAATTACGTTGCCTGGCGTAGTCTTCTTTGGACCTTGTTGGGCAACCTGTATGGAACATCAGCTAATATTTTTTAAACTTAAGTGCTTTATCCAGTAGCGTCTGTTATTTGAGTTTGAGTCATTTTGGTCTTGTTTGTCACTGAAAAATTCCGTGGGGTCTATTTGTCCTGGTATTCATTCATTAGAAAAGTGAGTGCTCCAGGTTGCCCAGGGCTTTAGCAGAAGACGGCCTGACCTACCCCCACCCCCTTTACCTGTCAAGCTAGGCTCACTGAGTTGCAGGGTATTTTATCTCTGTTTTATGCTTTTGATACCGCTGTTTAGTTTGAGATTAGCAGATTGATTTCTGTCACAGGTCATGTTTTTTAATAGATCTGCCCTGCCTAAAGAGAAACTCTTTCTCAGGATGCCACGGTAGTTTTTGAACCTGCTCGAAGTTAGAATTGGTAGACTTTTAGAATACCAAGAGTAGGTCTTAAGCCAGCATGCTAATTGCAAGGCTGTGCAAAATACCTCACCACTTGATTATTAGCAGTTTGATGACATACCAAAGAAAGAGCCAGGGACCTTTCTCAGACCCAACCTTTAATATTCTTAGGGGTTTGTGGAGGCATTTATGATGGTATGTTGCCACATTAAAACTTACTTTTAAAAGTAGGTAGTTTTAATTCGGATTTATTAAGTGAAATGCACTTTTTTATGCATTAGGAAAAGTCAAGTTTGATATAACCCAAAGGGGCATTTGAAAATGAAGTAATTTCAAAGTAAAAACCGACACTTTGTCACGGGGATTGAAAACATTTCATAGAATTTGCATGGGTTTATTCCGTATGACAAATTAAATGTATATATTTTTTTTCATGTACATTATGATTTTGTAAAGTAAGTTAACCCTGACTTCTGGTCTTCTACAGATGGGTCAAGATTTTGCTAAATCAATAAAGTAATAAACAGACTTCAGCCTTTGGAAAAATAAGTAGACAATATTACTTGCAACTTAAATTCTTTTTTTTTTTTAGAAGTTTAGTGAACACATTAAACTGATAAGAATGGATAGTTTCTGTAGACAAAGTAAATGTATTTTAACTTATGCAAGTAGATTCTGCTTGAAATTGTGTTTATTTAGGTTGAAATAAAATTAAATATATCTTGGTCATAAGCACTAGGCAGTTCACTCTGTAATGTTCTTGAAGTAACTTCTGTGGCAGATAGAATTTTGTCTACCTTATGGAGTATCCTTGCTGGCTTTGCGTGCATGCTCTAAGTATTTGTAAGTCTGTTTATTATAGGAAAATACAAACTCATGCCCTGTCAGAATAGGTCTCCAGTTAGAGCCCATCTCCTTGCTGGTCACTTCTGGAAAATGGATATTCAGCTTTTAAATGTTGCTAACTTTTTAGTTGCCAGTATTTATTAGGCAGTGAACCCAATTGATTTTTATGCATCAAATTGGCACAAATCTGTGAAATAGCAACTGAGAGGTAACAGTCTGAATAGAAATACTATATCACATTTACCTAACTGCATCCTTCACATTTCTCAATTTTGAAGCCTTGCTGGAGTTTTACCTAGAAGTGTGGACAATCCTCTTACTGTTATACTGCATTCTAGCTGGACTGCAAGGGGCTCGTTTGCTCAATGAAAATCTGACTCAAAGAGAGTATAACTACTTGCTTTAACTTGAAACCATAGAAAGATTTTAAGGAACTTTTAAAGATAACTTAAAACAATAAAACTTTATTTGGATTCCCCCTTGGTAGCCACGTTTATACAAATAGACATGACTTGGTATTAACAACCCGTCCATTAACCTGAAGATTACTGTAAACAGTTCGAAGCTTGCAACAAATACTCTCTTAAACGCCGTGTGTTTAGTGAAAGTTGCTCTTCAGTTTCTATATTCCCTAAAGTGATGCTGGAGTCATTAGATATATCTTTTGATTTGTATTGTAGGTAAGGGAGTTTAAAAAAATAAAAGACGGTTGCAAATATAAGGAATACAGCTCTCCTCAGTCTGTGATCTGCTTCTGCTCAGGTCTGAATGTTATCAGTTTAGAGTTTTTTCTCTTCTGTTAATCATGAAGATTTCACTAAACACAATCAAGTTGGGTTGGTGTTTTTTTTTTTTCATCCCTTCATTTCTTTAGGAACTACAAGCATCTCACACACGAATAGTAGCTCACTCGAATCATCTGGTTGTGTTCTCATCTGGAGTTCTGAAAGTGATTAGAATTGTGGGCTAGCCATCCTGAGTGTTTCTGAATGTTAGGGACCTATGCACATAGCTAAGTAGAGAGAAGTGCTAATATTTTTCTAAGACTATTCCCTTGAGTGTTTTTCTTTCAGAATTCAGTGGTTCATTTAAAAAACATCTGAGCCATCATCAATTTGATCATGTACGCCAGAACACTGGCACTGTGCCTTTTTCATTGACAAATAAATGAAATCATCGAGGTTTAAATCCAGGAACTAGTTGTGAGGGGAGAGGAAAGATTTATCTTGGTTTCCAGTGGGTCCTATGACTGAATTTGTAAAGGATTCTTTTATTTCTGAAGTTTCAGATTTTTAAAGTAATGTCTTTATATGTTCAAAACACATTTTAAAAAAATAAATGGCATCATATGAGATCTAACTCTATGTTTCAGTGCCATGTAATGTATCATTTTATTAGCTTTATTGGGCTAATTTTATCATTTTGATATTTATATCAGAGTTATGTAAGCACTCTACATTAGGTGGCTATCCCATGTCCTTATGTGTGTCCATGTACAGCCCTCCCTCCCCGCCTCTCTCCTTCAAATACAAACATTTGTAGAAGTCCTCTTCTAGAGTTTGGCCCATCTTTCCTGGAGTTTTACAGAGCAAAATTAGCTACTGAGTTTATTATTTCACAGCCATTATGTGTATTATTTTATCGTCATAGGGAACTAGCAGAACACAGATACTGGCTGGTGTTAAGATGACTGACACACCAGTGCTCTGTGAGGTAGCTATACAGGCTCATTCAGCATTTTCCAGTACAAACCCAATATCAACAAAATGTGAGTGATCAAAGATATCAGAGTTAGTCTTTAGGAATTCACTTCTTCGGATGTGTGACTTGAGTGGTATTAACCGGGTTTATTTTGTGGCTGATACACAAGAGCTTTGGGGCTTTCCTGTGACAACAGGGACTTGGTTAGGTGGAACACTTAACTGTTTGGGCAAATTAACTTCCTGGATCTTCTGCTGTTTAGTCTTGCAAAATACCTTCTGAACAGGCATTTCATTGCCGTCTCCCCACTGGCCTGCTTTCCTGTTGGATAGGGGAAGATAAAGATGGCACCTCCTTCTCTCCTGTTGCTATGAAAGGAGCTAGCTACCAGCTTCATGCTGGGCCAAGAGAGTGAATGAATACAATTAGTCCTTCAGGAGTCCTGGGCTTTGCTAGCTTGGGAAAAGAAGATGCCAAGATAATTTGCAGAGAGAGAGAGAGAGAGAGAGAGAGAGAGAGAGAGAGAGAGAGAGAGAGAGAGAGAGAGAGCTACAAGACCTAAGAATATGTTAAAAAGACAATTTTATGTATATAGTATGGTACAGTGTTTAGTTTATTTTTCAATATCAATTATTTGCTTAATTTTGGAAAAAGACTCCATTCCTTTTCTGATTATTTTAAATAACCTCCTTGGCTATAAGGATTTTAAAAGGTATGATCTGTTCAGTAATGCACCACTCTGTGTTGAGTCAGACCATATTATTGATTTTCTCTTCAGAAGTAGTATATAAACTATTAAAATAACAGCATAACTACAACATCCATGTTGAAAAGGAAGCCTGTGTTCCTGTAAGCACAGAGGGGAAGGCAGTCCTTACCCCTTGCCCAGGACAACTCACTCAGATCAGTCTTCTGAACAGAGGGGGAAAAAAATTGTCTTTTGATCAGTTGTGACAAATAACACCTTCATATTCAGGCATAAAAACTTCAAAGAGGAGTATGAGGAATGAGTTATTAATACTCACTTTTAATAATTTGTCTTACCATAGTGGTCTTGGCCAAACGTCAATAAATTACTGTCTCTTTGAAGGGGCTGATTTATATTTTTCCATTTATATGTTAGTCTGCTTTTCAACCCATGTCCTGAGATGTTTTGTAGAAAAGTTTCTGGTGATTAATGTGAACCTCCAGTGTTTCTGAATAGGAGATTACTCAATACTAGGAAGTCTGCTTTTTTTTTTCCCCTCTTAAATTTTGTTTGCATTTTATGTTTTCAAAATGTAGCCAGTTCCGAACAAGTCGACACAATGACACAGAACCACTTGGCTTAAAATTAACATTAATAATGTAAACTTTCTATCCTAAAATTATCATACAGACTTCTTGGAGAGGAGAAATCCATGCATTTTGGCCTTCTTGATAGTCTGTAGCTCTTACTGCATTCTCTAAGGGATTATTGTGGAGCTTCTAAAAATCTGTGTACCATTTGCTCTTAGAAAATTTGCATGGATACAAACTCTTGATTTTTGAGCTTTCTGGGTCTAGTTTTCAAACAGTGAACCATATGTTTCCATAAAACATTACTTTAAAATATTGAAAACTCCTACTGAAGTTACCTAGCTGCTGAGCGACCGCAGCACACTAGCGATGGTTCACTCAGCTTTCATTCAGGTGGATTCTATCATTTTCAATAAGGAAAAATAACCCTTTGTCATCTTTAGAAACATCCTTCATACAACTGACAGTTGACAGGTTGAAGA